ACACTAATTAGAACTAAATTTACCACTTGCAAAAACTGACCTCAAGAGATATGTTAGGACAATGTGACGAATTCAGAACATGGAGAACAGAACAAGAGCGAGCTATTTCTTGCAATGTTTCATCACTAACACAGGAACAATTTGACATGTCTAAAGACTCTAATTATGGGCAAGAAGTCACTGCAGAATGAATTGTTGCATCTGTAAGTTTGTGGCATGCACTTATATCAAGCAGCTGTAAAAGGGGGAAATTAAGGGTTGCTTATGCCATATTACTACGTTTCAAGGATAAACTCTTTAATAGTGGGCACCTGCAAAAGATCATATGTTAGCATAACGGAAGAACAGATTGACATCAAAATATAGTTTACAATCAAATCTAGATTTTGCTTCACCTGATGGATATACGCATCACACGGTATTTAGTTACTTTCAGATCACATAACCTATCATGGTTAATAGGTGTCTCTTGACCACCATCACCGAGAATAGCATCATTCACATCCAAACTCCTTAACATACCACACTCAGTCAATGCATGGAAAAAAACATCCCCTAGTAGCCCTTTTCCCAATGTTAAAGCCTTAAGATTTCTACCAATTAGAAATTTTTATACACATTAATAAGAGGTTGTGCAAAATTCATTTTATTAGAACATAAAATATGTCAACAAAATATTACCGTAATAAATGGACAGTTTTCATAACAAGAAGGTGCATGCTAAGAGTGCCACTCAGGTTCACTTCAGTGGCATTTGGATATCTTTGACATATGTCATCAACTGGAAGATCAAAATGCAATGTTATTGCAGTATGACATCCAATTTCATTACATCAATGTACCATTTTCTCATGCAAAATAATATTATAATCGAATACCCATATAGTTTTCTTATCTAAAAAATAGTGTCAACTCCAAGCAATTTCTAAACTTTGTTTGGAGCACATTGTTTAAAATAAATGAGAACTAAGTAAAGATATTGAGCAAATATGAGACTCACATTGTTCAAGAGATATATTTCGGTTTTCCAAGTTCAAACACCTCCAAGAATGCTCATGAGCACTAGCTGATCACCATTGCCTACAAATCATGGCATCATTACAAAGATTACGATGATCCAAGAAGGAGAACACGCAAATAAATGGATGAGCCCTTTGTTCCTATTCGTTCATTTAATTAAGCGAACATGCAATTCTATTAATGTTTATTCGTTTAATAAATAAACGAACATATATGAACTTCTCGCTAAACAATTTACGAATGATTTATTAAACGTTTGTTTGGTTTGCAGTCTTAGCTATTATCATTACATTAAATCATAATAATATCAATTTAAACAAATATTTATAATTATTAAAATTTTTAAAACAATTTCAAACAATAATATCCAAATTTATTTTATTTTTGAATTCACATTTCAACTACAATTCCAAGGGTCAATATTGCTCACACTGCAAATGGCTACATAATCAAAATAAAGAGAAAGGGGAAAAAGTGAGACTTACCTGATAAAGCTTTTCCAGGTCACAAGGATCTGGTTATTTCATAAATATAACATTAATGGCCGACTTCAGTTTTGCCCATGTTTCCTCCTCAAAATTTGTAGGCAATGTCGGTTTTGCTATAGAGAACCAGGAGAAGTTAAAGTTGTATCAGAAACCCTTATGAATATATTTTCAAAGTATTATCATTGTTAGCAAATGCAATGTTGTTGTAGTTTCTTATAATTAGTTCATATAAACAATATATGATCAGATTTGCATAGAAAACCAAAAATACTTCAAACCTGATTACAGTTCCTTGCAAGTAGACTTATTAATATGAAATATCAATACCTGCTAACTAAAATCCATATTTAGCTGTTTGGAAAGATGAAATAACTTATTAGACTTATGCAAGCACACATCAAATATGCTAACAAAGAAATATGTTTCAATTTACACAGCCTAAATGACACAATCCAATTTTAATTAATTAGTGTTAGCTCAATATAACAATAAAATCAATAAACATAAATTTGCCTATCCTAAGATCTTAAGACGGAACAAAATCCCTAGTTTCCAAAATTCACCTCCTCTAATCCCCAATTTTTTCATTCCAAAAATGACCCAACAACCAAAGCCACTAAATTGCTAAGATCAAATTCTCTAATTAACTGAAAATAAGAAAATATTATATAAAAAAACACCCAGATAATAAATTATACAAGAAATGAGATCAATTAAAAGGAAACACAACCTTTAACAAGTTTAATGACGAGCTTTTTGTAGGGTTGAGGTGGGATAGCCTTTTTGCGAGACAAATTAGCGGCGGCGGGAGTACCGGCATCGTTGGACTTGGAATCATAGTCGAGGGCCATAGACGAATGGTCGAAAACCAAACAAGAAGAAGAAGAAGAAGAGGGATGATTCGTTTGTTTAAAGTTGTAAATGCAACTAAACAGAAAACCAAAGAAAATAAATTGTACCGGCATTAGCGAACAAGAGAGTGGGATCATTGTGAGGACGAGGCAGAGGGAGAGACAGTGGCACGGTGGAAGAGACAAAGATCGTCGAGTTCATCGGAGGTGGAAATGGGCGACAGAGGCTGGGGATTCAAACTCGGGCCTAACAAGAAGAAGAGAATCGAAATGAAAAACAGGAGAGAAAAGGAGAGAATGAAAGGAGTGGAAAACATTAGGCGTGAACTGATTATCGAGGGGGAAGAAGCGGGAAAATGAAAATTATGGGGAAATTAAAATACGACTTTTAGAGATGACACACAATTAAAAAATGTACTCCGTGTTTTTGTAAATTTTTTGGATTATGACTATTAAATATGACACACATTATTGTAAATCATAAATCGTTCAGATTTTAAGAAACATGACATTTTTTATGACACATTTTTTGCAAGTTATAAATTAGCGTGTGTCATCGTTCGTGTGTCATTAAAGGTATATTTTCTTGTAGTGAGTAGACTCGGCTGGGGTTACGAACACCACCGGTGCAAAGGTTTTTGTTGGGCAAGATCTAAAACGCAAACTGATACCATGCCATATAGAAAGTAGGTTAAAGGTGAAAAGAAGAGTATTTCATTCACCATAGACTAATAGGTATGATTGGTAAACCTTTATACAAGAGTTGTGCAAGAGTTCTAGCTAATCTAAACTACATTAGTTTTACCTTATCTACAAATCAAATTAGAATTAGTGTTAGACTAAAACACTAATATTTAAAAAATAAATCTAATGTTATCTTAGAATTATCACATGATTTACAAGAACTATTGGAGTACTGCATGTTTTAGCACTTAATTTTTTTTACTAAAATAATAAATCAAGCATTTATTTCTTCTCAGTTACGAAGATTCCATTTTTATTCTTGCTAATTTCAACTCCTAAGAAATATTTTAACATCCCAAGTACTAAGTTTGGAACTCAACATGAAGAAAATACTTTCAAGATAAAATTTCGCTAAAATCACCGCTAATAATTACAATATCATTCACATATACAACTAAATTATCATGCCTTCATTAAACTTTTTTTTGAAACTTGCTCTATTGCTTCTCGTACTTTTTAATAACTTGGATAAAATTACTAAACCAAGTCTAAGGACTTCAATTCAAGCCATATAAAGATTATTTTTTTCATACAACATACTATCCCATACTCCCGTTTAGCAGCAAAATTAGGTGATTGCTCCATATACCTATCCTCTTGAAGATTACCATGAAAGAACACAATTTCTTATATCTAATTGATGCAAACTCCAATCAATAGCCACTGCGAAGGAGATAAATAATATGATAGAAGCAAGTTTAGTGATCTAAGGAAAAAATATTATGATAATCTACTCCATAAGTATGAGCATACATATCTTTTGACAACAAATCTAGCTTTCAATTGAGCAAGAGTTAGCTTCCAGTTGAGCAAGAGTCATTAGAGTTGAATTTGACAATGAACACCCGCTTACATTCAATAGCTCGTTTATCAGCATGTAAAGTAAACCAAAGACTTGATTCTAATAAAACTAGAGCAGTCATCTCCTCAAGCAAAGTCGTACACCATCCATAATGAGCTAATGTCTTGTAGACAAATTTAGGGGAAAAACACTTTACCGGGGACGAAAGAAAAGCACAAGAAAAAAGAAGACAAATGATTATAGGAAACAATAGAAAAAATTGAGTATGTACAATTATGTTTAACTTTGAAATGCAATAAGTAGATCAAGACCATCAACGGTAGTTAGATCAGATTAAGAAGATATTAGCTAATCAAAACATCAATTCGGAGTCTCGAGAACAAAGTAAGAACTAGACGCACATGGAAGGATGAGAGAATGATATTGTACCTTGTACGTGTTACAAATACTTTTTGCGTGTTATTTCAATTACCTAGTAAATTATGCTGTTACTTTAGATTAATTATTAACGGACACTTTTGGCTAGGGATGGACGCAGTATTTTATGTTACGGGGACAAACTTCAATATAGGAAGTAAAACTTGCATTTATAAAATTTCAGAGGAAAAAAACATATTAAAAAGAATCAAATATATGATAATTTTAAATTTTCTGGAGACGACTACCCCCACCTCGGTCCATCCTTGCTTTTGGCCATATATTCAATTAGGTTAGTTTTTTTTTCCTAGCATAGGAGATAGTTATATGGTGAGTTGATTATATGTCTAGTAACCAGTGAAAATTGTCTTTTTCTGGTCTTCTGTTGTTAATCTTTAAGACAGGCAATCTCAATGCTAGTGGTAAGTTCAGAAAATAGTTGCTTGCTGAAACAATATACTAGCATTTGTTTAGAGGTATTAGATGACTGGCATGGTTGTTTGAATTATCAATTACTGCTTCAAGCTTTTTCCTTGTTTCCAGTTAGCCAGTTGCAACTCTGGTCTTTAAGACCGTGCCATCCTATTAACTTTATTAGCATTTTATGGCGTTTTAAAATGACTTATTTCCAGAATAATTTTGGATAAACACTAGGTATGTTTTTATTGATGCAGAAGGCAGGTCTTTTTTATATCTAAGGAAATACTACAGCTGGTGATGGAGGATGCCATTGACGATTGGCTTTTGTGCCAGATTTATTGGCTTCGGAGGGAGGAAACTGTTGCCCTAGGGATTCGATGGATTCAAGATGTAAGGCCTACATTAGAATTTAGTTTGAGCTTGAGCATTATATGGCTCAGCCTCCGATGCTGTAAAAGCAAGAGTTTTGTCATTAACAACTGCTGCCACCATCACATGAACTTTTAGATGTCTTTCTCTCATAAGACTTTAACGGGAAATCAATCTCTGAATGAGAACTGTGACAGGCAGAGCCAGAGGCTAAGTTCTGAACTGTAGCCCAACAATCTTAAGATCAATGAGTCACTTTCACTAATTAACCATCCAAAATGTTATGTTTCTTCTAATTGCCTCTTCTTCTTCCAGCTCCTGTGGCCAGGTGGTAAATTCTTTAGAACAATAGGGAACATTCACAGCAAATTTGGTAATGCTCATATCAACCAGACGCATTCACCTTCGTTTAACTTCAGCCAATTTTGTGGGAGTAATGCCTCTAAACCTGGATCCTTTGAGCAACAACTTGAGGCTACTCGTAGAGAAAGTGACATAAAAAAGATCATTGTCGGTATCTTTTTATCGTTGTTGATATCTTGTCTGAGCAGGCATAACTTTTGGATCTGTAATTTAAATGCCTGCAATTCACTTGTCGTTGGTCCAGATTTCAATGATTATATTTCTCATTAAAATTTCTCAACACCCTTTTTATCTACTTTATAGAACAATTCAAGCTAGATTAGATAGTATATGTTGTTGAAATCACTGAACATGTTCCGCTCGAATTCATCAGATGGACCTCCAGCAACATTAATTAGCTTGATTGGGTATAAGCAATACCGACGATGTGCAAGAGACATTTATTATTTCACTCAGGTTGACCTTTTATTCTTTCTTCCCTCTATGAAGATGATACTATTCTCTTATTTTCTTTCTGTTTTCCATTGTTCCGATACTCGAATATACGATTATATTTATCTGTTCTTGTCCATTGCAGTCTACTGTATGTATTAAGCAACTTGCTTTCGCGATCGTAGAACTCTTACTTATATCAGTTTTTCCCGAGCTACGAGATATTGTGATGGACCTTCATGTCAAGAAACATATGAACGAGGCCTAGCTAGGAAGAAGAAGTTCCGTTTCTGGTTCTGCCTATATAAAAAACAGATTTGTTTCTGGTTCATCCATGAGAGCTTAACAAAGGTAAGTGATGACGCATATGTGATGCTACAAATTGGCTCACCGTTTGTTTCAGGGGCTTTGCCTGTGATATTTTTGGGGTATGGAAATTACTATAGAAATCATATCTTCTATACGGCATTTAAGAAACACTGAACTGAAATTAGTTAGATGAAGGTTTCCCCTTTATATAAATGAGTCATCCTCATAAGTTCGTGAAAGATTAGGATTTTAAAAATTGATATTGTAAGATAAAACCCATGAATTTAAGTTACATATATTAATTCTTTAATATGACGTATATATAATATTTTATATATATTGTACGAATCAAGCGACCTCAGTGATTAAAAGGAATAATTGTTATTCCTAGAGGTTCTGGGTTAGATCACCAATGATTGCAGGGTTTTGAGCTGATGAGTGATTTATTTAGAAATTATTTTTTTGTTAATTACTCTTTGTTGATTAGTTGATATTGTTGATTTAGATATTTTTATTCATTTTCTATACAGAACTTTAATTTATGGAAACAACAATAAAAAGGCAAAGTTATGTAGTTTTTATTTTTCTGGAGTAAATGTTGGATTAGTGGGCATAACTTGGGGCATGAAGATGTCTGACATGGTAGTTTCTAAAAGGTTCAGTCAACAACTTATAGAAGGCAGTCCAATTAGCATTCTAGAAGGACGAGCGGATTATTTAGCATCAGTTTAAATTTGAATTTAGAATTATCATTTGATTTTAAAATTTTATTTGAATATTTTTACGATTTATCTTTAGCCATTTTGACTTAATTTTTAGGGTTCCAAAAAAACTATAAATACCCTACAAGGTGAAGCTTGAAACATATCTCGAATTTAGCTTTCTTCTTGTTTTCTATTTTATAAAGTTTCTTTTCTTTCGTTTCGTTTTTACTTTTCAAGTTTTTATTTTTTACTTTCTTTAAAATATGCTAAGTATGATTTCTATCATGTTTAGCTAATTTTCCTATAAGGCAAAGGCTTAAGCGATGACTCAATTTCAATCATTAGAATTAGAAAAACACCTACTACCTTCGACTTAAATTCTCAATTTTCTGCAAACTTAGATTGGCAATCGGCCTTTCCTATAAAATCAAAATACTTTCATTTCAAAAAGTCAACTTTGGTATGGGTGTTGTCCTGATTTAAAGTTGGGAGGAAGAATCAGCTAGTAGCAAATTCAACTTCTTAAGAAACACTTAGTGGCGGTTCGCTAAGAGAAACTAAGATCGGATTCGATTCTCATTGAGATAACATAATATGAGTCGAGCTTTTCTGAAGTTGAAATTGTATTGGTGTTGGCGACGATAGTCTTAGTTAGTCCAAATAAGGACTGAATTCCAAAGATTAATTTTGGATTATCGATTTATCGGAGAGAAAAACAACTTACAAGGGTTGGGCCTTGTAGACTATAACCAACATTTGCCCGGAGTAAAAAATCATCTTCGATGATAAATTGGAATTGAGGCAAAGCAATACTTGAGGTTGTTTTACTTAATTAATTTTTCTTCTAAAAAATTTACATAGCTTTATTTCTTACTTCCCAATCTTGTTTTCATTAAATTCTTGTACTATTTTATTTTTATTATTTGCTTTCTCTAAATAGAAATCCCTCAATTTTCTTTATTTTCTTGCCAAGTCAGGATCAAGAACTTTCTATATCAGAGTTTCCAAAATCTCTATGGATCGACCTTTATTCTCTATATTACACTTATTTATTTATTCTTTTGAGATTAAGGATAAATTATTTGACAGTGCACTACGCTTGTCAAATTGGCATAGTTATTGGGGACTTCAGTAAAAGTTACTGATTAATTTTTTTTCTATTTATGACCAGGCAGAACCTGAGCGAACTATAAGAATTTGATCTAGAGATCGAAGCACGAGCTAGATGAATTCATGCACAAACGCTTCAAGAGAAAAGATGATAATGAGCCCAGAAAGAACAACTACAACAAACATATCCAAAACTAAATCCTGAAGCATTATTTAATATCGATTCACATTCTACACCAGAAAAATCGATCCGATCAAACGATTCAGCAGCTAGTTACAGCACCTGTCGTTTAACAGCTGCTCTGTATCACCTTTCCCATGGAGAAACTCCATTCTAGTTGAAAATTGGTCTTATCCATTGTTTCTCTACATTCAACGGACTTCCCAGTAAAAATCCGCACAAGCATCTCATGGATTCCACATGGTTTGCTCAAGCATGAAACCACGGGGAGTATCCGAAGATCGAATTAAATTAAGAGATTTTCCTTTCTCCTTAGTCGGTTTGGCTAAGGAGTGGTTATTTTAATTACCTTCCAACTATGTTTATACATGGGCTGACTTAACTCGCATTATGCTTGATATATTCTTCCTAGCAGCAAAGGCGAGTGAGTTAAGAAGAAGCATCTTAAGAATCCAACAAAAAGACGAAGAATCAATTTATGATTACCGAGAGCGATTTAAAAAGCTATGTGCAAGTTGTCCTCAGCACGAATTAATCGAGAAAATGATTCTCCAATACTTTTATGAAGGATTGTTTCCTTTGGAGATGATAATGGTCGATGTTTCTAGTGGAGGAGCTCTCGTCAACATGAATCTGGATGCAGCTATAGATTTGATTTCTCTAATGGTTGCCAACTCTCAACAGTTTGCCCATCAAATGAACCCAGCCGACGGGTTCACGAGATAAGTATTATTTTTCTCTAGAAAGTAAAATTGATAAATTAGCTAAGGTAGTTAATTCTCTATTTCAAGAAAAATTTGAGCAGCTAGACTTTGCAGAATATGTACAATGACGAATCATCCAATAGATAGTTGTCCGATGTTACAAAGAGATGTTGGCACACAAGTAAATGCAATGGAAAATTTTTCGAGACCTCACCAGAGGCCTTACAACCCTCACGCCAATACCTACAACCTAGGGTAAAGAGATCTTCCAAACTTCAGTTATGCGCAAAACATGAGGCCTAATCAAGGTTATAAATCGAGGCCACCTCCACACAAATATATCAACCACCGAAATCTTTATTGGAGTCCATTGTCGAGTAATTAGCTTTATCCTAAAAGAAGTTTTAGAATCACACTGAAGCTCACTTTGAAGAACTTGAAAAAGCAAATGAGCCAACTGGATCAAACTGTGGGGCGATTAGAATCGCAAGTAAAGTTTCCATCTCAAATCGAGGGGAACTCACGTAAGAATGTTAACGCCATCACCCTTTGGAGTAGTACAGTTATCACACAATCAGTCTAAGAGGATGTAGGTACAAGATGCCATAAGAAAGAAAAAGAGCTGAGATTCCATAGAGAATAAGAGAAAGCTGACGTAAATTCCCAGTAAGGAAAAGAAATTAACTTAGGATCCCAGGGAAAGAAGAAAGATGAATCATCGCGCCATCTCCCTATGTCGTTCCACCTCCTTTCCCCTCAAGGTCAGTAAAAAGAGATAAACAAGCCAAGGAAAATGATATATTGGAAGTCTTTCAAAAGGTGGAAATCAACATACCTCTCATTGAAGTAATCTGAAAAGTACCAAGGTATGCTAGATTTTTAGAGGACCTCTGCACAACCAAGAGAAAACTTACTGGAATGAGAAGTTAAACTTAGGATAACACATTTCATTCATTTTCCAACTTAAGCTTCCACCAAATTTGAAGGACCAAAGTATGTTTTCTATACCTTATAAGATCAGTAAGGTTGGGATAAAACGTGCAATGTGTGATTTAGGAGATTCTATTAATATAATGTCTCTTCATGTGTACAACTTACTTTAAGTTGATCCTTTGAAGGAAACAAGAGTAACGATACAACTGGCTAACCGATTTGAGATATATCCCGAAGGACTCCTAAAGAACGTATTGGTAAAGGTAAACGATTTAATTTTTCCAGTAAATTTCTATTTCATTGACATGGAAAACGACCGAATGGACACTTCTTCAAAAATCCTTCTTGGACGTCTTTTTATTAGTACGAGGCATACAAAAATCGACGTAAGAAGTGAGATTCTTAATATGGAGTTTGACGGCGAGGTTTTCAAGTTTGATGTTCAAGAAGCGATGAGACATCCAGATAAGGTTGCTAGTATTAATTTTATTGATATTATTGAACATGTCATTGATGAATATATGTAAACTAACTTTGTTGGTAAATTATGCATGAAATTAAAGGATAAAAAAAGGAATCCAGGGAGTTGAAAAGTATTTCGTTTGTTGAATCAAATTTGCGCTTAACTCCTTCAAAAACTAAATTGTTATCTTTCATTTTGTAGGTACTGAAAATAGAGTCGAAGCAATTGTCGAAACATTTGAAGAACTCATCTTTTGGTGAAAATGATAATGATGTATTAACAGCCATTATTTTGGACAAGCATCCAAAGCTAAAAAAGATCCAAAAAAAAGTTTGTAACAATGTTTGAAGCTACAAGGATAAATTTAAGAAACTTTATGATCATAGAATTTCTTATAAGAAATTTTTTCGATGGAAAAAGTGTATGAACCAAAGAAAGCATCTCTCTCAGAACTTGTGGTCTGAACTAGGTCGTCGAGCTAACGATGTTAAACAAAAGCGCTCTAATGGGAGGTAACTTATTTTTCAATTTTTTATTATTTTATTTATTTATTTATTTGTATTTTTTTAGGTAAACCAAGGATATACCAGACTTGATCAAATTCGACAGAACGACTATGACATTAGTTTGTGTGGAAGCATGGAATTTATCACAAGCAGAGAATCAATTTTAGTTCCTAGGGAAGCTCCATCACGTGCACAATAGCAAAATCAATTTTCCTCATTTGTGCTCATGTTAGCAAAACCAACCACATATTCAAAACATTTGTTTCATTAAAAAAAACCCTTTCCACGTGAATTCTAACCCCACTTTCTTTCTGTTCTTTTCCCATTTATTAACCAACCTTCATTTTATTCCCTTGGA